TGCTGTTTAGGCTTTTGCGTTTGGGTTGAATACTAATGGGTTGTGATAATGTGGTTTGCTTCAGAGGTTATTATTATTATTATTATTATTATTATTATTATTATTATTATTTTTCATTTCCTTGAAAAGCGTACTGCTGAACTATGACGCTTTAATGAATTTTTTTGAAGAAGTAGGCAACGATAAACAGTCGGACTCTTCCTCAACGGCCGCAGCACTAGGATTTTTCAACAAAATGGAATCGTTCGGATTTTATTTCAATTTACATCTTCTAATTTCCGTTTTCGAGGGAGTGGAGCGTCTAAATGCAGAATTGCAGAAAAAGGAGTTGAGTGTCAACGAATCCCACAGAAAAGTTTACATCGTAAAAGAATCTTTTAGCAGTCTACGCGAAAAAGGTTTTAGTGAATTGTGGCATGATGCCGAATCTGGAGCCGCAAAATTGAGACTACAAAGTCCAACACTTCCTAGACTGCGACTGCGTAAAGTGCCTCGTAGACTTGACAGCGGCAGTTCACATGAATATTCAACGCCTCGCAAATATTTCGAAAAACTTTTTTATGAAGTCATAGATCTTACCTTAACATCTTTAAATGATCGCTTTCAATCAGACACCATTAATTTTCTGAATGCCGTTGAGGATTTTATACTTAAGAAATTGGGGATGTCAGAAAATGTCGTTACGTCGTTTTATAATATAAATGGGGAGGAAGAATTCGATCCTGAGCGTCTAAGATTACATAGGGACATGTTATTGGATGCAATGCAATCAGCTGGAATAAGTAGTCCTAATTGCATAATGGATGTTGTCCAATTTCTGAGAGCCAATCCTGAAGTTGCCTCATTAATTCCAGAAATCAAGAAACTGTGCAGAATTATTCTTACCATCCCTGCTTCGACTTGTACGGCAGAAAGATCTTTTTCTGCACTTCACAGGCTGAATACCTATTTGCGTTCGAATTTAAGGCAAGATCGACTCAATCATGTAGCCGTTCTCCATGTACATCGGGATTATACTGCGGCGTTGGATTTAAAACCCCTGATGAAGGAGTGGATTTCGCGATCTGCGCAACATTCTTCTACTTTTTCGATGGCAATGTAATGAGATGTGCAATATATTGTTTATTCTATTTTCTCTTTTTATCCCCCGTTTACTCCTCCTAATCCAATTAATAAAAACA